TTTAAAAGATATTCTTGCTTGCCAACTAGAATCACAGTTTCCTAACTTAATGTAATATTCCATTATTTTTAAATGATTAAAGTTAAAATATATTCTTATTTTTTAAAAAGGAAATGAAGAGAAATGCAGATGAAAATGGGAAGAGGAAGAAAGGAGATCTTTTTTGTGGATTTTAATATCTATTAGTCACATAACAAATGAAAACACATAATTATATGAAATGTTTATAGAAATAGTTATTTTTTATTTTTTTACCACTCACAATTTAGAATGTTATTTCATTTACTCAGAAAAGCCTTGAAAAGTAGTATATTACTATAGAGACCAAAAGTGTAGGGTTTTTTCGTTGTTTTTGTTTCTGTTTTGATTTTTATCTCAATTGCTGAAGGATTGTTTTTTAAATAGATATTGTAAGAACAAATCTGATTCCAAATTGGGAGAAGAACATCATGAATTAGCATTACCATTATGAACTCACAAGTTATGAGTGAGCATGAGACGTATTTTTATATATTTTCCTATGTGATATGTGTTGGTGATAAACTGTGGGAGAATTCCCACGTGTGGAAACTGTTGGTAGATTTTGTTGCTGCATCTCTGGTCACAATAGTTTTGCCAGGATTATTTTTATTTCTCATTTGAAAATACAAATTTTAGAGCTCAACACTTTGTAAGCAATATCTTTCCCCAATATGAGATAAAACTCCAATTATGTATTTTGGTATATACTTCCTGTAAATACACTATCTTTAACACACCAGTATCTATTCTATGGACTAGTAACAATAACCCAAAGAAGCAGATAATAGTGAGAGATCTGATGCTTACAGACTGAAAGAAAACGTAAGGTAAAAATAATTCAAATTTGTTTATTATAGTGATTTGGTGATGACATATAAAGAAGAAGGCTGAGTGACATGGAAGGGTAGAAATACTGCCTCTGGCATTTATATGCATGCATGTGTATATATGCATATACATGTGTGTTTATATATGTGTTCTACATTCATATATCACATACAATATTTAATATTTATTATCTATTTACTATTTTTATAAATTAAATTTAGATTAATTCAATCTTTTAAAACTTCATCATAAGCAATCATTATTTTAAATGATGGGTTAAAGCCAGGCACATACCTATAGTCCTAGCTACTCAGGAGGCTGAGGTAGGAGGATTACTTGAGCCCAGGAGATTGAAGTCAATATAGGCAATGTAGTGAGATTCTCATTTCTAAAATAAATATATAAATAGATATTTTATAAATAAAAAAATTTTCAAAAATTATCTCCAATGCCATAAGTAAATTTACAAATACATATTAAATGTCATTTTATTAACTTATTTATGTTGTTGAGATAAAAATGTCAAACATAAAATCATTAAAACATGTAACAAAAGTTTACCAACCCTATTAAAGAAGCTTTCAGTTTTCATATATATATATATTTTTAGAAACTAAAAGAGTTGTTTTAGTTCATAAACTTTAATATAACATTAAGGGAAATGTGGAAGATGAGATTACTTAATAATTTAAAACACTGGATGATGCAACACAAAGGGAAATATATGTGAAAATATAACCTACTAATCTTTATGAGGTCACATTATCTTAATATTAGTAATTTTCAGTATTAAATTACTCTCTTAATAATGGACTGAGGAAATATGTCCTCATCATTTTTTAAGACTGTCAGAAGCAGGGTATTGGAGTCTGCCCTTTGGAAGCTACTCAGGATATGCCGACTGAACAAATCATTACATCATTTATCTATTAATTCATATATTGTAGTTATAGCTATAACCCAATTAAATAAAAGATCAGTATTTAAAAAGTGGCAAGTTTGATGAGCTAGTTTCATTTTTCTAAAATTTAAAATATACACATACATTTATTTTGAATTAAGGTTTTTCTACATGTTCAAAATTCATACATCTTAAGAATAATTTAGAAAGTTCATTTGTGAACCATCAAAATTATCTCACATGCCACATGTTGCTCCTACTCTACTTTTCAACTGGCCTAGAGGTTGATATACGTATGGGAGTGCACATCGACAGTTCCTGAAACAGCTAAAGAAGAAGGTGTACATATTTAACATAATGAGAGGGAGGAGGCTTCTAAGGGAAGAAAAACTAGGTTTCTAGGAGAACAAAGGGGAGATTAAAATAGCTTGTAATCGTGTTTATGTAGGTAAGAATAGATTTCCTTGTTTTTTCTTCATTTTCATAAACTTTCTTGGGAGAGGGAATTCATGGCAGCCACACTCCCACAAGTATCTGCTTTTAGTGCCATAAAAGAAGTTCAGAAAAGACTCCTTTCTCTTTGTTCAATCTCAAATGTCTTTAGTTTTAAATAACCTTTATAGTGCCTCTAGGGATCTGAGTGAGTCCCAAAACTTTGAAAATTTAAACATTTTGTGTTTTTTTAACTATAATTTTGTCACAGTCTATCTTATACTGTATCAAAATATCAAAGAATCCTGGAACCACAAAGTTATTGCATTCTAGACAAGGTTGTACTTACAAAATTCCACCAGTAGAAATTTGTGCTTCCTAAAACTTTACCCTCAAGCATTGCTTTACAACTTTTTTTGAGCAACCAGATTGGGAATGAGTTTAACTGAAATGTACTATTAACCAAGCTTAAGAACAGGGATTTTTTTTTTTTTAAATTGGAAAGCAAATATTAATGTCTGGGAACTGTCACAAAGGAAGACATTTTATGAACAAACTAAAATAAAATACAGGTCTGTTAGTATAATTACTTTTAAAAAGTATTTAACATAAATAAGCAAAATAAGATTAGCCATTTTAAAGTGAACAATTCAATGGCATTTGGTACACTCACAGTATTGTACAACCACCGGCTCTATCCGGTTCCTAAACATTTTAATCACTCCAAAAAGAGCTGGCACCACTCATGCAGTTGCTTCCCATATCCCCTCCCCAGCTCCCTGTAGCCACCAATTTGTTTACTGCTTCCAGATATTGCATATAAATGGATCATATAATATGTGACCTTATATTTTGTCTGGCTTCTTTATTTGAAAATATGATGTTTTCAAGTCTCATTCATGTTGTTCCATATATCAGGACTTCATTTCCTTTTATGCTTGAATCATATGCCATTGTATGTACATGCCATGATCTGTTTATCCATTTATTCATTGATAAATACGTGGGCTTTTGCCAACTTTTGTCTGTTGTGAATAGTGCTACATGAACATGCATGCAAGTATACTTTTCAATGTTGTACAAAATAGAATTCAAAAAGACAGAAAAGCATAATAGTTCTTCAAAATAATAACTGAATACTATGAAAGTAAAAACATTTCCAGATTCTGTCATAATGAATGATGCTACCACCACCACCCTCAACAATGGATGTTCTGGATGGAAATGACTTAGGTCCAATATTATTTTCTTCTGTCCTATGATAAATGTTCTTCAGATAAATAGAAACAATTTGCATTTCTAATACAATTACTACCCATTATTTAGGTGTGTGCTATCCATCATGATTTCTTTCTAAAGAAATGGAAAGGGAAACAAGAAAGAGTAACGTTATAGTTGAGAAAACTGACTAGATACAACCTCAGCCAGGTTCAAGTTAACAACAGTGATAAGTCATATTAATAATATACTATTGATAAATGTGTCAAAAATAGCACTTGACTTGTGGTTTTCCTACATAAATCATGTAAGTCCAGTTGAATCTTGAGGAAAACACCAGATAAACACCCATTAAGGGACATTCTGCAAAATATCTAGTACTCAAAATTGTTAACGTCATCAAAAACAAAAGTCAGAGAACTTGTCACAGCCAAAATGAGCTTAAGTAACCATTATGACTGAATGTAAACTGGTATCCTGATTGGGATCCTGAAACAGAAAACTGACATTAAGTAAAAACTAGGGAAATCTGAAGACATTTTGGATTTTAATTAGTAACAATGCAACATTGCACTAGACAAAGTTAAATGGTAAGGAAGACTGTATTCACAGCTATTGCAATAGAGAAGACCAGAATACAGACTAGATCTGAACTGAACTCTAATAGAAAGAATGGCTAGAGAGAAGTTAAATGCTCCAGTGGACTTGGGTGTAGGGGGATTCACAGATCAAGTGTGTTTACTAATTGACGTTCCCAAAGGAAAATAAACTTCCTTGAATTTTCATGACAAAAAGTAGTTTTAGAAATTGGAACAAGTCTCCAAAGGAAGTCAAGCTCCTACCCTCCCACAGAAACTGGGAAATAGGGGCTTCTTCCTTGACTATTACATTTCAAAGAGATGGCCCCCAGGTCGTGAAAAACATGGGTCTTTAGAACTGGCAAGAAGCTTATAAAAGATTCACATCTCAGAGGCACAGAGAAAGAATTTACAATTACAAGATTTCTAAAGTAAATGCTCTAATAAGATGGCAGTGACCTTTATGGTTAGACTGTCTAGTAATGTGAACTGTTAGGTAAAGGCCTAACATATAAAAGCTTAACTACTGTAACATACTGTCAACAAAGTCGCTTTGAAGACAATTGGATCTCAGTTTACATCCTAGCTTCACCGCTTAAAACTGTTGGTTTAAGCAAGTTAATTTATCAATCTTTTTTTAATGAAAACTAAGTCTACATTATGCCTAATTTCTTTTTTGTTGTTGTTTTTTGAGACTGAGTCTCACTCTGTCGCCCAGGCTGGAGTGCAGTGGCGTGAATCTTGGCTCACTGCAACCTCTGCTTCCCAAGTTCAAACTATTCTCCTGCCTCACCCTCTCGAATAGCTTGGACTCCAGGCGCCCACCACCGCACCCAGATTTTTGTATTTTTAGTAGAAACGGGGTTTCACCATGTTGGCCAGGCTGGTATCAAACTCCTGACCTCAAGTGATCCACTCACCTTGGCCTCCCAATGTGCTGGGATTACAGGTGTGGGCCACTGCTCCTGGCCATTGTGCCTAATTTCTATAAACTACCTGTTGTTTGTTTTTCTCTCTAACAGGACCGTGCCCAAAATCTGAACGAGAGGCGAACCACCACCACCACGCTCACAGTGGATGTTCTGGATGGAGATGACTTAGGTCCAATGTTTCTTCCTTGTGTCCTTGTGCCAAACACTCGTGATTGCCGTCCACTCACTTATCAAGCTGCCATACCTGAGTTGAGAACTCCGGTAAATATGCTCTTATCTTTCTCCCTTCATTTGCATGTTTTAAAACCCAATGGGATCATGTTCAAGTATTTTGCAGACATATAATTTATAATAGCAAAACTCACTATATGCACATTTTAAAATATTTATGTCCAAAACTATTTTCAGGGAGTATGCATACATTTTTAACACAAAGAGTAATTATATAATTTACAAGGTAGAAAGTATGTTATGAAACAACAGTCCAACATGGTTATTTTATTTTTATTTTTTACCAATAAATCACCAAGGAGTTCACTAGCCATTCTGAAAAACTCCAAATAACCACTGCAGCATTTTCTTAAATTCGTGTTTAAACATGCAGTACTAAGTCACAGGACACACAGGTCAATAGGATACACATTTGGCCCAGTAGAATTCTGAAATGTTATTGGAGATTATGTTTGGCTGTTTGAAGGTAGGAGCTAACAAATACTGAATACAAATACTTACCTCTTAAAGTAAAGATACAGAAAGGTGAAGCATGAATACATATTTTCTACGCTTAATCCTATATTTTTGATAAATGCTAATGGAGCTATAAACTTCTGTCGGTTTGGATTTCACACCTTGGACCTCCCTAGATGATTGATGTACATACCTAAGAATAAGAATTTTAAGGCAAATGGATATCCTGTTGGGGCAAAAATATCAATTTCTCCCCTAAAAGGTGTATTTGTGTGTGAGTGTGTGTGTGTGTGTGTGTGTATATACACGTATTCTGTTTTAAAAAATTCAATGGTCTAGGATTTAACCATCTAACTAATATTTTTGCTGTTTCCCTGGAAAGCAAACAGCTCTCTGGGTTCCCAAAATGGCTCAAAGTGTTAGAATTTGTTGGAAGTTATTTGACTTTTTTTCCTCAAAGCACCTGAGAACTGCAGTTCTGAGGGTCCTCTATTTGAGATTTTGAGGAATAGAACAGGAATGCCTTCTAAATGTAAAGCCAAAGAGTGCTTATCCAATGTCATAATATTAATACATCTATTGGTTTTTCTCACAGTTCACTGGTCCAGTTAACTTGCATGAATAATAATAAAAAAAAAGCTGGAGAGAAAAAAAAATAAATCTTATGTGCATTGGATAAAAAATATGTTTTCAGCCAAATGAAGTACTTTTGCAGACAAAAAAGCTAATCAGAACTTGACTAGACAAAATAGATGTAGATTCCCTAAAGTTATATGCCATTATGTTATTTTGTCGAATTCCAAAAAAAAAAAAAAAAAAAAAAAAAAAAAACAAAAAAAAAAAAACCCACCAACTATTAACGATGGTGAACATAAAAATTTTCTTTGAAAGAACTGGTAAAAGTAATGATGACAAATACAATTTGTATAAGGCTGCACGCCTATTGCCGTCTGCCCTTCGACAAAGCTGACAAAAGCAATGGGAAAAAGACTTCCTATTCAGTAAATGGCAGTGGGAGATCTAGCTAGCCATATGAAGATTGAAGCTGGACCCCCTCCTTACACCATACGCAAAAAGCAACTCAAGATGGATTAAAGACTTAAATATAAAACTCCAAACTAGAAAAAACCCTGGAGGACCACCTAGGCAATACCATTCAGGACAAAGGCACAGGCAAAGATTTTGTAACAGACAGCAAAAGCAATTGCAACAAAAGCAAAAATTGACAAATGGGATCTAAGTAAACTTAAGAGCTTCTGCACAGCTAAATAAACTATCAACAGAGTGAACAGACCACCTACAGAATGGGAGAAAATATTTGCAAACTATGCATCTGACAGAGGTCTAATATCCAGCATCTATGAAGAATTTAAATTTATAATAATTAAATAAAAACATTAAAAAGTGGTTTTTTTGGACATGAACACTTTTCAAAAGAATACATACATGTGGCCAATAAAACAATGAAAAACAGTGAAACGTCACTAATCATTAGAGAAATGCAAATCAAAACCACACTGAGAAACCATCACACAGTCAGTCAAAATGACTATTATTAAAAATTCAAAAAATAACAGATGCTGGCAAGGTTGCAGAGAAAAGGGAACAGTTACACACTGTTGGTGGGAGTGTAAATTAGTTCAGCCACGTGGAAAGCAGTGTGGCAATGTCTCAAAGAGCTAAAAGGAGAATTCTCATTTGACCCAGCAGTCCTATTACTGGGAATATACCCAGAGGAATATAAATCATTCTGCCATAAAGACACATGCACATGAATGTTCATTGCAGCACTATTCACAATAGCAAAGACACGGAGTCAATCTAAATGTCCATGAATGACAGATTGGATAAAGAAAATGGTGTACATATACCACATGGAATATTATACGGCTATAAAAATAATGAGGTCATGTCTTTGCAGGAACATAGATGGAGTGGGAGGTGAATTTCCTTAGCAAACTAACACAGGAACAGAAAACCAAATACCACATATTCTCACATGTAAGTGGGAGCTGAATGATAAGAACTCATGAACATAAGGAAAGGAACAACAGACACTGAGGTCTATCTGAGGTTGGAGGGTGGGAGGAGACAGAGGAGCAGAAAAGATGACTATTGGGTACTGGGCTTACTCACTGGGTGACGAACTTATCTATACAACATGATATGAGTTCACCTGTGTAACAAACCTGCGTATGGACCCCTGAACCTAAAATATAACTCTTTTTTAAAAAAAGTTTCGTTTTTATTTATCTTTTAAAATATCTACAAGAGGGTGAGTTTGCTCCATGACTAATCATTGTTTGTGCATGAAATTTAAACATGTAAGGTTAAAGTATATTAGGCTGGCATTAACATTTTTAAAAAATTTCTACAAGAGGGTGGGCTTCCTCTATGACTAATCATTTTTTGCACATGAAATTTAAACGTGTAAGATTCAAGTATATTGGACTGGTATTAAAATGTGCATTTTTTCATTCAAATATTTCTATTTGGAAAGACAATAGTGTAAAAATAATAATATGCTGAAACAGAATTTAATACTTGATAATAATCTTTTTCAATCATCCCCATACACATATGGCACTCTGGATTGTGTGTGTGTGTGTGTGTGTGTGCACTTTCAATTAAAATCCCTTTAAATATAAAAAAGAAAAAAATATATTTTTAGTATTAATTTATGTTTCTGAGTTAATATATTCAGCTAGTGTACAGTGGGACCCCAAGAGAAGGTATATATTGAGACCACAATAATCCAATTCAATGAGTCAGTCTGACTGTTTACTAGTAGTTAGTTCACTGAGGAAAGTAAAGGAAGATAGAAGCTGCTGCTTGAAAAGCAGAGTGTACGAACTTAATTTTATTAAGGATCACTGAGCTTCCTTTCCTCTCCAGATTACGGACTGAACATCTCATTCCTATGCAGTTTAGTGCTAGAGACCAGACTATACTTTCAATTTGGGGTAATAACATAAGTGATCATAATGTCTAGAGTTTGTATAGAATGTTCTGTTTGTAATGAACTATGCTAAGCTCTGCACAAATATTAACTGATTGAATATGTTGAATATACACAAAAACATTTTCGGTAGACAGTTTAAGTATATGGATATAGATATAATTTAGTAAGAGTAAATAAAATTAAGATACATTTGAGTCCTGGCTCTGCACACAAAAATTGATAGTTTTTTTTTTTTTTTTTTTTTCCTGGCTCTGTCAGCCTGGGTTAAGTTGGAGATTCACTCTGTAGGTGGATGTAGTTGTTGAAAAATATTTATATCCAAAAGTCTTTTCAGAGAGTATGGGCAAATTTTTTTATCAGAATGCCCCACTCTCTCTCTTATTGTACTATAATATTCATATTTTGAGTATCAGTACTCAAAGGAGAACTAGTCCAAGGATAAAACTTACCCAGTCTTCGGATGACAAACCCAATCCAATAATAAATATTACATATCCTAACATAAGGAGAGCAATGAACTAATGGTAAAGAAATTAAGACAAGAAATTTTTTATGCTCTGAATCCTTTGTAAAGTAGTATTTGGGCAAAGAGCACAAGGGATCTGGAGGATGGTGGATTCTTGCTGGTAAAAAAGGAGGTGTTTGAAGATCAACAAATAGTTTTGCGAACAATTATTCTTGTATTTTCTTTTAAAACCATGCTTTTTGAATTAAATATTATGGAAGAAATTCCAGAATGTTCAATATTGATGCTTTTATCATTTTTAACCGATTGAGCCATTCCTTAACATACTTTGAAAAAATGAGAATTTAAGTTTTACACATTTAAGTAATTATGGCAAATATTTATTTTTTAATTTCATGTACAAAAATATAGATATATTTACTTGTAAACCTAGGCACTTGGTCAGATTATCAGTCACTGTATAACAGGCCACCAAAACTTAGTGGGTTCAAACTACAATCATTTAATTTGCTCACTAAGCTGCAATTTTAGCAAGACTTAAGAAAACACCTTGTCTTTGCTCCATGTAGCATCAGCTGTGGCACTTTAACTGAGGGCTGGGTGCCACTTTCATGATGATTAACTTAGATGGCTACCAAGCTGATTTTGGCTGTTGGCTGGTGCTCATCCAGGGCTGTAGACTAAGGCTTCATTTTCACCTCAGTTAAGCCTCTTATAGGCTGTTGGAGCTTCCTCACAGCAAGACAGTGGGTTGTCATAACAAGCTTCCCAAGAGAATTAGGCAGAAATTTTCATAAATTAGAATTTGCAGTGTCAGATCTGCTGTGGTCAAATTTCTGCCAGTTTCAAGGGGTAGAAACATACTCCACCTCCCTATATGAGGAGTGTCCAAGTCACATTACAAGAAGAACATATGGAAAAGAAAATATTATTGTGGCAATCTTTCACAAATAAAATCACCCTTAGTACTGGCATCAGGTTTTTATGTACATTGTTATTTTGAATTCATTCTGGAACACTAGGTATAAAAACCAGAGTTAGTATTTGAGCTTCACATTCAAATTACTGTGTTTATGTCTGTACTTTTATTCTTTTTGATTTTCTCTTTTTCTATTTTCCTTTATATATTCTGCTGAAATTTCATGA